ATCCTCACTCTGTCATCCTCACTCTGTCATCTCTGTCATCCTCACTCTGTCATCCTCACTCTGTCATCACTCACTGTCATCCTCACTCTGTCATCACTCACTGTCATCCTCACTCTGTCATCACTCACTGTCATCCTCACTCTGTCATCCTCACTCTGTCATCTCTGTCATCCTCACTCTGTCATCCTCACTCTGTCATCACTCACTGTCATCCTCACTGTCATCACTCACTGTCATCCTCACTCTGTCATCTCTGTCATCCTCACTCTGTCATCACTAACTGTCATCTTCACTCTGTCATCCTCACTCTGTCATCACTCACTGCCTCCCTGTGTGTGTAGATCAGGGCTCTGCAACCTTTACAATCCAAAGAGCCATTTCTGCTCCTCAGCTCACAAACAAAATGTGTCCCAAGCTGCACCATGTGCCATAACTGGTTATCAACCGGTGGCCCGTGGGCCACTTCAAGTTGTTTGAAGGAGGGCTTTCCCGGCCGGGGGGCACATCAAAAAACTAAAAGTATATAGTGATTTTTAACATTTACTATTTTTATGCTTTAATATATTCATGTAAACAAGGTAAATACTTTAGTTTATAACAACTTTAAGTTAAACTATGCAGGATTATTATTTTTATTATTGTCTAGTCTTAAAGGTTAACCTGATTGATTATTTATTTTGATGCTTTGAAGTGGCCAACGGTAGCATGATCTAATCAACGTGTTTCACTCTTTGTTTTAGAGTCATTCAGTGTGTTTTTGCAAACAAAATGTCAGGAAATCTGCTGAAGCTAGCCTTTTCTGTTGTTAGTATAAAACAAAACAAAAAAATAGTGTTAGCTTTGATCAAATCTTCGACGAGCCGCTGCAGAGGGACCATAGAGCCACACGTGGCCCCAGAGCCGCAGGTTGCAGACCCCTGGTCTAGATGCATCCAAATATCTCTTTTTGTCTTTTTCCTGGCAGCTGCACCTCTAACATCCTTCTACCAACATGTCCCTCTGAGACATGTCCCCCTGAGACTTGTCCCCCTGAGACATGTCCCTCTGAGACTTGTCCCCCTGAGACTTGTCCCCCTGAGACATGTCCCTCTGAGACTTGTCCCCCTGAGACATGTCCCCCTGAGACATGTCCACACGTCTCAGTCTGGCCTCTAACTTCATCTATCTTCTAATCAGTTATTTCACATAATGTTTCTTTAACAGGAAAATAGAAAATAACTAAACTACTCAAATCTTGTCTGAATCATATGTGGTTGGAGGGAACTACTTTTTCTTCCACTTGGGTAATGCATGCGCACAGTGGCCTGTGCTCAGTCACACTCGGTCTGTAGATGTACGGCAGGTGATTTTAACATAAAATCTGCTGCTTCTGACCATAATTAGATTCTAGTTCCCAAACTCTTTCATGCCATGGCCCCCCAAACAGGATTAGCTCTGGCCTGGGACCTTCTTGCAAAACCACAAACAATTGAAAATATACGAAGTAACAACTTTTAGACTGTTTTCTCTCACTTTTCAAAAATTATATTTATTTAGAATAAGAATTGTGTAAACAAATATAAGGTTAGGATTAGAAAGACTTTTAAATTAAATAAATTATGTCATGTATTATTTATAAAGCGGTTATTTGAAAAACACTGCTTTACCAGACAGATTATGTGTGTAATCACAAAGTATCAGTATCGCTGATACCGGCCAAATTTTACTCGGTATCGGGGAAAAAATAGTCCGTATTGAACATCACTGATACAGACTGACATAAATTAATATTTTTACACAGTTAATTACTGAAAACTAGTAGCTGATTAACTTCAGGGTGTTACCGCTCTCCGGGTGTCTTTTGCTGTATTATTTTCCCATTTTGCTAATGAATAACCTGCTTTCAGGAAAACGTGGTTCTATTAGATACATGCTCATTTTTAGAAATAAAAATTATTATTTTGTTTGATGACACTTAACTCTGACTTATAAATCACCAAAGCAATGCTTCATACAAATACTTCTTTTTGTTCTCCACTTCAGAGTTTTTAAGCTTACTCGCTAAATACCATAATTGTGTACAAGAACTGTGTATAAGTGTGAAAAACCTTACATGGTAATATAATATAAGGTGGTTATTACATACCTAATAGTCTTAATAAAAGTATTATGGTGAAACTGTTACTCACCTGTTCAGAGTAGACCTGTAAAGGACTGGATTTCCACCTCTACACTTGAGTTTCACCTCACTGATTTAACTTTTTTTACATCATTTACGTGTTTTAGTTGCATCATATGAGAAGTTAATAAAATTTGGAAAAAACAAAAAGCTAAATAATTTGGTGAAAGTGGTAAAAGTTGATAGATTGATGAAATTACATTAAAGAACACACAGTCAAGAGACACACATGACAAAAACATGGGGAAACAAGTGATCAGGTCATGCTCAGAACGTTTTTATTCGAAAATGTTTTATTCACAAAAATTAGTTGCGTTTAGTATTTTTATTCAGAACTGTTTTTAAAAATTTTTTTTTAAATTTTACTTCATTTTTGACTATTTTCTCTCACTTCCCTCCCCAGATTCAGTCGTCTCCAGCTCTAAGTCAGCGGCTGCAGGTCTTTGAGTCTCTCAGGGAGAAGCAAGAAAAGGGTAAAGGAGCGACAGAGAGAGCCCTCGCCGTCCGCCTGGTCGACGGTGACCTCGCTGTGAAGGGAACAGCCGGCGTCACCACGCCTCTGTCTGTAGCACAGAGTCTGAGGTAATCTCACCGGAGAGCCCGCCAGGTTTTCATGTGTCGCATCTCTGCAGGCGTAGCAGCGTTGACGCATGTGTCGCTGCAGGCTGAAAGGAGGCCTGGTGAGCAGGGTTAATGGGGAGCTGTGGGAGCTGGGGCGCCCTCTGGAGGCTGACTGTGAACTGCAGCTGCTGGGGTTTGACACAGCTGAAGGAAAACAGGTGAATAACTGACTGAGGCCGTTATATTTACTCCTAAAGGTTATTTTACCCTAATTTCTGTAGCATTTCTCTGGAGCTTCATGCCTTATTTATGCTGTGATTTTCAGGCAGCGTGGAGGACAGGAGCGTGTGTCCTCGGTGGTGTGTTGGAGGCTGTGTTCGGTGCTGAGGTGTGCAGAGAAGGAGCATCAGAGTTCGGACTTTTCTGTGACCACGTATTGAGCAACAGGTGAAGTTTTCCATCAAAATAGACACGTCGTTAACCTGAACCAAATTATTTGATGGTAATTATACATTAGGGGAGACCGGGGACAGTTGCAACACTGTTTGGAGGTGTTTACAACATATTATTAATACAATATATTTCACTGTAAATAAAATTTTTATATTTATATTATTGCTAAATTAATAAAAACTAAGTTATAATGATATTATAGTGTTATTTATTTATTCTTTTTGATCAAATGATGAATATAGATTAGTCTTGATGAGTAGATTTTATATACAGATGTCGAAGACTCTGATATAAATACAGTTGACTTTTAGAGACAAGGATAATAGATCAGTTTGTGAGACAATTAACTTTAGTTTTGTCTATTGTCACTGTACGCCTACATTATGTAACATTTACATTAAACAAACTGGGATTTTAAAACCATTGTTGAAAACAACAACTGTAGAAAATACATCTTAAACACTTTTATGTTTTAAACTATAAAACTGTCATGAATACACAACACCCTTTTTAAGTGTAAACTTAATTTCAACATGTTAATCTCATCTGTATGTGCTCTGTTTTATATGGATTTATCGTATGGGGACAGTTACAACAACTGTTACAACTGTCCCCATTCCTGTCAGCCATGATAAAACCTCATGTGTTAGCTAAATAAGCTCATCTGGATACATGTTAACTAGATTAGTTAAAAGTCAACAGATCACTTGTTTAAACCAGAGAAGTTTGAGCTGGATCACAAAAACTGTTTTTTTTTTCCAAATAAATCCTGGATCAGTTTTTGAATCTGTTGACTTTTTCTTTACAAGGTGGGACATCTAACTGAGCATGTACAGTGTGAGTGTCATCACTCTACACTGTTTCTGTTTGGAGAAAAATGACATGTTGCAACCGTCCCTTGTTGCTACTGTCCCCGGTCTCCCTACTGCATTTATTTTAGCCACTATTACCTACTTATGTTATTGTGAGTGTTTCACAGCGTTCACACCATTGAGATCATTTTTTCTTCTGTACATTTTTTTTTTGCCTGTTTCTCGTTCCACAATTTTTTTCCTATTTCAACAAAACGTTCAGCTCATTCAGGACATTGCGGCTATGACTTTTTGTATTTCTATTATTTATACTTTTGTTTAGATATTTCACTTTTTTAGCCACTTTTTGCCTTTGAAAATGAATGGAGTTGTTTTCAGCAACCTTAAATATTTTTAAATCTTTACAGCACCTTACATATTGTGTTCTGCTTATGTTCTTTTAACTTCCTTGTGCTAACTTTAGCTTTTTTCTGCTATTTCAGCTAAAATTCTACATATTTCTGCTATTCATCTATTTTCTACTTTTTTATAATTCTTTCTTCTACTTTGTGCTGTTAATGCTTCTTACAGATGCTTTCTGCTATATTCAGCTATTTGCTTCAATTTTAGCTAATGTTCAGCTGTTATTTGCTAAATTCAACTTTTTTTAAGCTAAAAACATATTTTTGTAGCTGTTACAACTTATTTCTGCTACGGTCAGCAAACTTTTGCTTCTTATGCTTCCTTAAGCTGTTTGAAACATTTCCAGCTATTTTTTAGCTGTTTTACAAAAAACGTCTGCTGTTTTAGCTTTTTTTTTTACTACAAATTATCACTTTTTATTAATTTTATGCAGTTTTCTTCTACTAATTCACTTTTGAATTCATTTTGTTCAACTCACTGAAGTAAAGCTGAGCGTCCAAATGTCAGTTGCATGTGAAATGGTTTGTTCAGAACTGATTGTAGTTACAAACAGAATCAAACCTAAGAAAAATCTCGTCCTAACTGTAAATGTGTCTCGGCCCACAGCTCCTTGTCTCTGAGTGAGGTGGAGGAGAGGTGTAAGGAGGCTGCAGCTCTCAAACTTCCTTTGATCAGACTGGAAGTGAAGTCAGAGGAGCTCAGAGAACTTTTCCAGGTCAGTGGCATTTTGTTGTGTTTTTGTGTCATCTAACACTAACACTTGTCTGTACAACAAACATGTGAGCTGTGAACCAAAGAGTAGATATCACAGTAAAGGCAACGGCTGCAATAGTTCATTGTGATCATTGGATTTGATGAAAATACAATGAATAAATCCCTCATCTGTGTGCCCCTTAAAGAAAATGTCTGAAATGTAATTATAAAGTATGTTTTGTAGCACATTTCTGAGCAGTTCTAACAACTTAAACCTAGTGTCTTGAGACACAGCCAGAGTATTTTTTTTAGCTTTACATACAGTATAAGGTAGAAAATTTCAGTGCCTTTTAAATTCAGTTTATGATTTTACATAAAATTCTGTCATATGTGTTACGGCCACTTATCGTGCAATAAAACAACCAGTATAAAAGAGACAATATTTATTGTTACAAAATAAGAGGATGTGTATTTGCAAAAAAAAAAACAATAGATAAACAAAATAAATGAAAAACAATAGAAAAAGAAAATCAAACTCTAAAAGGACAGCAGGGTGCAGCGACAACTGCAAAAAACAAAAATTACCAAACGCCTATTAAATCTTTACAATAAAAACCATTCAATTCAGTTAAAAAATATACAAAGCCTACCTGCAGCGTCGACCAACCACACGCCCAGGTAGCAATCGTCAGATCAAAACATGAAGTGTGGCCCTATATAAAAACACCACACAAACACTGACTTACTATAATCAAATTAAAAGAGTTTTTTCTTTACAACAAAAAACAAACACACAAACCTGATCACAAACAGTGGAATGCGTGGGGCAACACACCTGGTCGAACACCGGAGATTGACAAATTGGCCACCAGCCGGACAGCCTCCCTTTTATGGGAGCTCAAAATGTGGAGGAAGTGACCCATTCCACATCCATATGTTTTTTTTTTTAATCTTTGTAAAGAATTGTAAAATTATTTTTCAAGTGCAAATATAATAATACTCCTAACTATTAAATTTGCAAGTTTACACAAAATGCTAATATAAATTGTAAAATCACAGCAAGTGTTTGTAGTTGGATGTTGAAAATTAGACATAAATTCTCAGAAAAATCATAAATTTTTGGTCTGAAGATGTATAGGAAACCTGTATTTGCAGCAACTTCCTGATATTACATAGTTAATGATGCGTTAGAGATATTTCCAGTCCTTGTGTATTGTATGTTCATTCTGAATTCTACTTATTGTGGCTGATAACTTGTGTAGTCAAACTGCCTTTTTATTGATATATTTTTATGATTTGTGTGTGTTTGTGTTTCAGGACAGTAAGCTGAGGCTGCAGTTTGTTGAAGAACAGATGAACGGCTCCACTGTTAACGTGTACAGGTTTGTGTGCATACTCACAAACCTAACCTAGCCTCCTGAGACCCTGCGTCCTCATACGAGGACATTGCATTTTTGCTTTTCAGTATCCTATTTCATGATTTTCCAGCTTTGACCCATTGGGCTCATTATTGACATTACCTGCATCATAGACACTCAGTGAAAACAAGATGGAGGGAAAGAGCTCCTACAGCAACTCTTGTCAGAAAAATGGGCAAGGTAAAAATCCAAATCATGCATCATGCTTGAACCCAGTGTATTTAAATATAGTTAGCTTCATAAAGCATGCAAATTTGATACATTTTTTTGATTGTAGCAAAATGCAATGTTGGTAAAGATTAAGTCTTCAAGTCGTCAAGTGAGAGTTCATTAGCAAAGTCAATGACATCATCACTATGACAGTAAAAGAGGTGAGAGCTTTGCAACAAACACCATGACAAGGTCACTATGACTGCCAATCAGCTGAAAGCTCTATAACAAAGTCAATGACATCATCACTATGACAGCCAATCAGGGAGAGTTCATTAGCAAAGTCTATAGCATCATCACTATGACAGCCAATCAGGTGATAGCTCATTACCAACATTTATGACATCATCACTATGACTGAAAATCAATTGACAGTTCATTAACAAAGTTAACACTATGAAAGTAAAACAGGTGAGAGCTCAGTAACAGTCTATGACAACATCACTATAACTGCCAATCAAATGAGAGCTCATCATCACTGTCTATGACATCATCACTATGACTGCCAATCAAGTGTAAGGTATTTAACAAAGTTCATGACATTATAACTATGACAGTAAAACATGTGAAAGTTCAGCAACAAAGTCTATGAGATCATCATTATGACAGCCAATCAGGTGAGAGTTCAGTAACAGTCTATGACATCATCAATGTGACAGCAAAGCATGTGAGCTCATTACCAACTATGACATCATAACTGTGACTGCCTATCAAGTGAGAGCACATTAACAAAGTCCATGACATCATCACTTTGACAGTAAAATAGGTGAGAGCCAAGTAACAATGTCCATGACATCATCACTATGACAGTAAAATAGGTGAGAGCCAAGTAACAATGTCCATGACATCATCACTATAACTGTCAATCAAGTGACAGCTCGTTCATAAAGTCTATGACATCACTATGGCAGTAAAACAGGTGAGAGCACAATACCAGTCCATGACATCATCACTATGACAGCTAATCAGGTGAAAGCCAAGTAACAAAGTCTATGACATCATCACTATAACTGCCAATCAAGTGAGAGCTCATTCTCAAAGTCTATGACATCATCACTATGACAGTAAAACAGGTGAGAGCACAATACCAGTCTATGACATCATAACTGTGGCAGCCAATCATGTGAGAGCACATTAACAAAGTCTGACATCATCACTATGATAGTAAAGAGCAAATCTTTCCCACTAAATTGGTGTTCAGAGGATTAATCGTCAAATTAATCGTTATCAGTTAAATACCACAATTAATCGTGATTAATTTTTTTTGCCAATATTTCCCAACCCTACCCATAGGTAAGAAAAACATCCAAAAATATAAAATAAATACATATATACATTTAACAATTGTATTCATGCCCACCTCCACCCCACTTTCCAACACATATATAGATATTATACTTATTAGGTTCTACTAATCCTACATATGCTAGAGAAATGACAAAACATCAAAGAAAGGCTTAGGTCTCAGGAGGCGGGACTTGTCTCCCAGTGTCTTTGAAACGCCATAAAAAAAATAAAGCAGTGTGTGTTTTCTCGTGTGTGTGTGTGTCTCAGGTGTGGAGACAGTATAGCAGTGTGTAACGGCCCCCTCCTCCCTCACACAGGCTTCCTGAAGGTCTTCAAGATGCTGCAGGTGTGTGGATGTTTTAGCTCCTCCCATCTTATCTTTTTGCTCTTCTTTCCTCTTTTCTTTTCTTTTCTTTTCTTTTCTTTTCTTTTCTTTTCTTTTCTTTTCTTTTCTTTTCTTTTCTTTTCTTTTCTTCTCTTTTAATTCTACACAGCTGCTCTACAACTGATCTCTGTTTCTCTGAGCCACACACTGTAATCAAACAGACCACGTAACCTCATCATTACGACTGTTTCTTTTGGACCGATACGGGACACAGAAGTGGAATTTTCCTGGTCATTATTGATCCAGGGAGCTGTTTCCTGACTGGGCAGAGTGAAATTCCACCACAGCACGGGGCTGGAAATGTTGTTGGCAGGATGTTGTGTTTGCCAGAGGCTGTATTTCTGTTCCAGGCTCCTGCTAACACAATGTCATCCATCAGTTGGCAGTTTTCTCTCTTTGCCTGGCTCTTTCCGTTTCTCTTTTACCACCTGTTTGTTCCCTCGTTATTTTTTCTCTCCTCACCATCCTGTCCGCTCCGCAGCTGTCCGCCGTCGCTCCGACCAATCAGAAGGAGCCCTCAGCTTTAACGCGACTGTCGGGCGTGGCGTTTCCAGGAGAGAAGGACAGGGAGAAGTGGGAGAGGGAGCAGGAGGAGGCGAGGAGGAGAGATCACAGGCGCATAGGAACAGTAAGAAGGGAAACTATTTTAGAAGAGAACATCTGAAGAAAATACAAAATAAAAACAAGTTAGCACATCTGAATGTTTGTCCACAGGAGCAGGAGCTGTTCTTCTTTGATAAAGTCAGCCCAGGCAGCTGCTTCTTCCTCCCTAAAGGAGCCCACATCTACAACACCCTCACTGACTTCATTAAGGTGCATTTATTTTAAACTGATTATTACTCTAAACACCTTTTTCTACCAGCTGAACTGAAGATGTAATCCTGCATTTTTATCAAACCAGCTTCAACTTCTTGGTTCTTTGAGCCTCTTGACT